GACTGAGGGAGAGGGATGAGAGGTCCACGAGGGTGGTGGTGGTGCTGTGTCGTCGTCGTGGTGGCTCGGGTATGCGTGGGTGTAGATTGGGGAGGGAGATCCGAGAGAGGGTAAGAGAGGTGTGAGAGAGAATAGTGTTAACTCGGGGAAAGGGAAAGAGAAAACAAGAAGAAAAAGAGGCTTGAGGCGCTGCCTCGTGGCAGGCTGAGAGGGAAAGAGAATCTAAAGGGAGGGTCCAGATAAAAAAGGAATAAAGGGACCAAAATGAAAACTTCAAATACTTTTAGGGGAAAAAGTAAAATTACAACTAAATTTGGGGAGGGGTTTTACAGGTAATGAGTCGGTTGAAAAAAAGATTGACACTTGGCGAAGGCATAGCTCTCCAACTGTCATCTTCCATGCATTACCCTTTTTGGAAGGATCGCAACTTGGCAATTGACCCAATTTACAACGGAGATAAACATGACAACGTGCACTTTACCCCTAAATATCATGTCATCCAAATCCATGTCTTTTGACTTGGATAATATCTTCCCCATCCTTAAAAATGAGAAATCTTTTCTGTGTGATCGGACCACATAGATGGTGGAATAGTGTTAAAAAAAATAAACAACTTAAAAATAAATTATCATCACTTATATAATAACACGTGAATTATCACTCGTGTTTAGAACATAATAAAACATTTTTCCTTAGGAAGAGGTCCTTGCTCGTTGCTCCTTCACATTGTTTTACCAATTTATATGTTCGAGGAAATTAATAGTAACAAATAACCATTATTTTATAGTTTTGAATTCATATAAAATAACGAGTCTTCAAAATAGAGGCTAAAATGTTGTCTTTTTGGCCTCTAAAATAGTGGATTTCCATGACGAAACTCGCAGCTTATCCCTTTTAAAAAAAAATTTAATTTAGAAATGATCTTGGGATAATTTGATAAAGAAAAATGGTTCAAATTAATATGACAATTATCAATGTATTAAAAGGCTAAGGCGTAAACGAGGCGTTCTTCGGATAGCCCCGCTTAGGCGAAAGCCTTGAGACGTAAGGCGAAGCCTCACAAGACTTAAGATTTTTAGTATAAACTATATATAATTACATATTTTATATAATATTTTGGTGGAATACTTAAGAGTCGTAAAAGAAAAAATAAGAATAAATTTTTAAGAAAGAAAACAAATATAGCATTACACAAAAACAAAAACAAATAAATACTTATTTTTCTTGCTGGCCACTTACTTATTAAGGAATATAAAGTTATAACATATTTATATAGAAATGAGTCTTTAGAAATCTACAAAATAATATTAAATTTTATAAATATGTTGGGAGCATATGCTTTGGATGCTAGAAGTTGGGATGTTGGACTGCTGAAAGTCACTTTAAAGAGAAAAAGAATCAGCCAAAAAAATAATATTAAAAAAATAAAAAGTAAGCAAATGAAAGCGAAGCAAACGACGCCGTGCTATTCATCTTCTTCACGCAGCATTGCTGCGTCTGCAACTTCCATATTCAACCGAAATTTTCCAGATTCCAGCAGCTCTTACACAAAAACGACGCCCGATTGACCGCCTTAGGCTCGCCTCCACCACGTCTAGGCAAGTTTTCACCTTCTCTCACTGGGCAAAGGCAATTTCACCGACGCTCCGCCTCCAAAGCCGCCTAGGCGCTCCTCGGGGCGCATTTTTTAAAACACTGACAATTATAGAATGAACTGATATCAATTTAGTAAAAATTGGAGAAAGTATTATGTGTTGCCGTTCTTTTAAATAGTGTCTTATTTCAGTTGTAATATCTAAAGGGTAAAGAATTTACATAATGACAAAATAGGTTGAGATCAAACACATCTCATAATTCACTAAATTTCTCTTTGTACCCTCTCTTTTTATAATTCTTCAGTTAAATAGGGCTACTAGGGCTGGGTTCGGTTTGAAACGGTTCGGTTTTTAGTCAAAACCGAAACCGAACCGAAATTTCGGTTCAGTTCGGTTCGGTTCAATTTTTTTTGGTTTTTTTTCGGTTCGGTTTTTTTCGGTTTTGATTTTTTTCGGTTCGGTTTCAGTCCGGTTCGGTTTTTTCCATACTATTTTTTTTTTTTAATTTGGAACAAATCTGCAACGATTGATTGCGAGCACTGAAGATGCAGAAACTTATTGGGTGTTGGTGCAAATGAATATGAACTGTAACAAATCTGCAAATCTGCACTGGAAGAAATCTGCAAATGAATACGAACTGGAACAAATCTGCAAATGAAAACGAAAATTACAATATAAAATCCCAAATCCCAACAAATCTGCAAAGATTATAACATGCAAAATCCCAACTAATAATTAAAAGAAAAACCCATTTTAATTCAGTAAATCACAATATAAAATCCCAACAAATCTGCAAATGAATACGAAAATTACAATATAAATTCCCAACAAATCTGCAAAGATTATAACATGCAAATCCCAACAAATAATGAAAGGAAAAACCCATTTTAATTCAGTAAATCACAATATAAAATTATAAATCATATTAGTTTTGATTCGAAAATTACCTGTGAGAGATCGGAAAACCCGGATTCGAATCTTCCAATTTAGAGGGGGTTCTGATTCGAAAGGGGCGAGGGAAAATCATGGTTTGGAAAAAGGAATCCGTGAGGAGGACATGAGAAGACTGGAGAGAGAGTGATTTGGAGGAAGAGAGGAAGGAGAGAGAGAGAGAGAGAGAGAGAGAGAGGGGGGCTGAGGAAGCAAAAGGCAGAGAGAGGACGCAGCGGAGGAGTGTTTGAAATCTGAAATGGGAAGTGAGATAAAGTGTGAGACGGCTAGGGTTTGTAAAGTTTAAGAAATTTTATAAAGCATTAAATAAAAGAAGCCTATAAATATTATATTGGTACAATAATAACAACTCAAAGCCCACAGTCAAGTTGGCTTGCAGCAACTAATCCTAAGCTATGGGGAAGGGGTTCAAACCCCGGCGCCTACATGTTTTTTTAGAATTTATATATGATTTTTTTTTCGGTTCGGTTCGGTCCGGTTCGGTTTCCGGACCTCAAAAACCGAAACCGAACCAACCAGATTCGGTTCGGTTCGGTTTTTTTTCGGTTCGGTTTTTTTCGGCTTCGGTTCGGTTTGGTTTTCGGTTTTTTTCGGTTTTCGGTTTTTTGAACCCACCCCTAAGGGCTACAACAAATGTGTTTTATAAAACTAGTAAAATTATTATATCATGGTGCTCAGGTACACTAAAAAAATCTCTCACGTAATGAGATTAACTTTAAAATGATATATAAAAAAAATAACCATTCTAAAAATTTATGAACTTCTTAGTAAATATTACAATTTCACGAACTACTTTAACGAGTTAAAAGTTATACAATATATATGTACAAAATTGATAGAATTCTAGTCTTAAGAATCCAACTGCAGAGAAATAACAAAATCCAATGACAAAACCAGAATTATATATGTATACAAAAGGTGATGGCTCCTTTGCCAAGAAGCAGCTAGCAGTTCTCCAACAAGAAGCAGCAGCAAAGGGCAGCTATACTGCAGATAGTAAACAACAAGAAGGACATGTCTCAGAAATTAGAATCAGATGAAAGAAAACGATTTCCAGACCCAGGAAAAAAAAAGGAGGGAGATAAAAGAAACTAACACCAAAACCAACTAATTTATTTCAATCAAAGATTCAAAGATCCCAAGCCCTTTTGGCCCAGCCACTTGTCTTGTATTTGAAGGTGTCAAATTTTGGCATCAACAGAAACTAATGCATGGAATTGCCAAGGTAAATAGGGCATTCAGTTGAATCCAATGATATGATTGGAAAATATTATAGTTTATATGTCGGATATTTACTATTAATATATTATTATTAAGGGTCAAATTTGGAATAATATCGGTAAGGGGTCTGAAAAATGGACAAGATTGTCTGCCCTCCTAGTTGTGGTGCCCTTCCATGCCCTCCTATTTTGTGCGGTCATGGTTAAGTCACGTCAATATTTTATATTTTTATTATTTTTTATCTTATTATCTCATTAAAAAATTAATATAAAATATTGACGTGGCTTAACCGTGACTGCACAAAATAGGAGAGCATGGAAGGGCACCACAACTAGGAGGGCAGACAAGTCCCTGAAAAATTTATCAAAGATTTGTGCTCAACTGGATCAATTTTGAACTACGGTCTAAAGTGGCGCAAGCGTAATTGAGGTTCAGGTCTTAAGCTAACTCTAAATTGGATCAGTCGGTTTATTCTACTTTTATACCTCCCAGATTACAATTGTTGGGTTACTGTTCACATATGCAGTAATTGACCTAATTAAGGTAAGATTTAACAAAAGCATTGTTAGGAAAGAATAATCTTATTGGATTCTCTTTCCACTTGGGTTTTGATTCTGTAATTATCTTTCCAGATTTTGTATTTATATTGTTTGTGTCACAAGGGAATACTACTTGTACTCCAAGTTAATGACTTGTATATAATGTATCCTATTCATATCAATAACCTATCAAGTTGACACTTAGTTGAAACTTTCTATATGTTATCAGAGCAAGTTGTCCAACGTGTGAAGCTCAATGGCCCCACGTGCTCCACATCACCCGACTTGTGTTGTCCACGTGTTAGACTTGAAAATTTGCTACACTTGAATTTTCAAGACTAACACGTGGACAACACAAGTCAGGTGATGTGGAGCATGTGTGGTCGTTTAGCTTCATACGTGGGACAACCTACTCTGATAACATGAAAAAAGGTTGAGGTTCTACCATAAAATCAATTGGCAATATAGGGAGTTGCACAACTCCTTATAAGCACATGCAAGGTCCCTCCTTGGTTCATCTCATCAATGTGAATTCATTCTCAACAACTTTCTATAAGCATGACCAGGATCAACAAATATCTAATAATAATATAAGATAAATAAACTTGATGATGTGAGGGAGTTATATAATTGTGCAGTTGAAGCATGAAATATACAAATATTCAGTTTGACGAACAATAGGCTTTCATAGAAATCAGACATACCAGCCGCTAAGGAAGCCGCCCTTGTTTTTCTTTTTTGGGGTAACCGAAAGTGGTGGTACCACTGGAGGTGGAAAGGCGGACGGTACTGGAAGATGATATTGTTCTGGCATCCCTGAAATTCCAAGGAATTAATTAATTATTCAATTAAACCAAACAAATACTACATGTCGCAAATTTATAATTATAGGTGACTTACCTGGTGCGGAATGATGATGACGCTTCTTATGGTGGACATGTACATGGGTGTGATCCGTACTGCTTGGTGCGGGATGATTATGACGCTTCTTACGTTGAACACGTACATGGAAGTACTCCGCACTGCTTGGTGCGGGATGATGATGATGCGCCACAGGTCGAACACGTACATGGAAGTACTCCGCACTGCTTGGTGCGGGATGATGATGATGCTCCACAGGTCGAACACGTCCATGGCCGCTGTGAGTGGAACTGTGTCCATGGCCACCGTAACTCGAACTGTGTCCATGGTCGACACTCATGGTGTGTCCATGGTCGAAACTCATGGTGTCTCCATGGTCGAAACTCATGGTGTCTCCAAAGCTATGAGTCATTGTTCTGCTTTATTGATGGGAGCGTCTAAACACTAAGAATAAAAACACAATGAAACTCTTATGTTTCGATGTAGCGAGATACAGAGTATACGAGAATAACAATCTTATCATGTTAAGCTAGGGTATTTATAGGGATTAGTACAAAATTCAAGTTCTACTAGGATTCGGAAGTATACTAATAAATTTAGACGAACAAAAAAAATTATGTGAATTAACAAATCCATATTGCACTTGGACTGGAAAATCTTCAAATTCTATTTGGTTTCGAAATTATACTAATTAATGTAACCAAACAAAAAAATTATGATCCATATTATATACTTGGACTGGAAAATCTTCATATTGAGGCGCTGGCAATTGGTGAAGGCTTGAAGGTGGCGTTATCTCTTGGTCAGTCCAAGGTGGTGCTGGAATGTGATGCAGCTTTGGTGGTTGCTGCAGTTAAGAGAAGTGAGCATGAGTCCCCTGCTCTAGGTGTCAATCGGGGACGTAAATGTGTGGGCTGATCAATATGTAGGTGAAATTTGAGTATGTTTTGCGTCGTTGCAATGTTGTAGCCCATCGATTAGCTGGGTTTGCTTTAACAGTGAGTAATTATGTAGAATGGAGTGAGGAGTTTTCGCTCTCCTCAAATAGGTATTTGAGTTCAACAAAATTTAATTACTATTATGATACTGTTCTATGGATTCAAACTCCACAGTGGTTTTCCAGCTTCTTTCTTCCAAAATTGTTGAGACTTTTGTGGTCAAGATGTGTATGAGATGGTCTTCCAGTGTTTTCATTCCGGTTCTCTTCCTCCAGGTCTGGGAAATACTCTTATCACATCTATATACACTAAAGCCCAGTTCCAAAATCACTGTTCATCACGTGAGTAGGAGTACTGTTCATCAACAGTGAAAGGGCGGAAATGCCCTCTTTTTCCGGCTCTTTTCCCTCATCGGTACAGTTAAATGGCAAACTTGCCCCAGAGATCCACGCGTCAGTCCGCTTCAATACGATGGAAAAGTCAGGCTATGCGTTTGGTTCCAGACTCCTATACACGTGTTGCTCATCGGGAAGGAAAGACGGATGGAAAAGCCGAGCTCTCTGTCAAGCATGCAAGAAGTTTCCTCTCTCTCTCTCTCTCACCCATCTCTCGCTCTCAAACCTCAACTTCTCTCTTTCACTTTCTCCGTTTTGCCGAAATACCACCCAACCAGTAAACGCTTTCGGTTTGATTCGAAGAAAAATTTTACCCATAAAGGATAGCGTTTCTTTGTGAGTTCTTCGGATCTTACATCTGGGGTTTTCTGCTGATGCAAGGGTTTCAGAGTATTTCCCGATCTCTCCTTACCCAGGTAACTAAATCTCACTTATTCTCGAATACCCAGAAGCCAAATATTGAATTTTTCACTGTACTTAATCTCTTTTAGCAACCTCCAGTTGTCCTCTGCTTTTCTCACTCTCCAGTGTTCATCAACACCATCAGGTCTCTCTCTACCTCTACCTCTCTCTATATCTCTGATATGTTTATACATGTCGTTGTGTATCTATATATCAGGTTGAAAAAGTTGTTAATTTGATTAATTTTGTTAGGGAAATTATTTGTTTTGGTGATGGATTTGTGGGTTTTAACCGTGTTTTGGATATACTAACAATTTTGTTTTGCAGTAAATTGCAATGGGTTGTCCACGGTTTGCCTGGTAAAACCAGATTTTGCGTGTGGGTTTATTCGTAGACGAGTCTATGATTTTTCAGGAGTTGGAGCGCTGTTGGTGAGGCTTGAGCATTTTCATCACATTAGCTATTCCGTACATCAGTCCAATATGTTCTTATCCCTTGCACTCCGTTGTTTATGTTTGGAATGTGTGTTTATGCCCCCTCATGATATCATGAGATCTAATGAGATTGTTTGCGATCTGGTTAAATACATAGTAATAAGGACAATAGTTCATAGTTTTAATGAGGGTTAATGGTTCTGGGTTTTTACATTTATTGTTAACAACTATAATTGTTATGGTTGATTATCGTTCTCTTAGTCTTACTGGGTTTCTTTTAGCACTTTTTCTTTGATTGGAAATTTGGCGGTTTCTTAAGATACAATGATATCAAATTAGATTTTTCTAATTTTCTGATTTTGGTGTTTTGCAGGGAGTACTAATATACTGATATCTGAGATTTTTTATCTTTCAAATGGGTAAGTGCTATTTTTAATGTTTCAGTTCTGGCATGTTTGGTTCTTTGAATTCTGTAGTTTGCTCGCTTCTTCGTTGCTTCGTGATTTTCATTTTTCAGTGTTGGTGATGGAAATTTGTAAAAATTGTAGTAGTTTTCTGAGAAAGTTGGGATTTTTAGTTATATTTTCTGTGCAATCCCTATTGAAAGACTGGAAAATGATTTTTTTTTTTTGAGGGAGACTGGAAAATGATTGAAATGATGGTTTTCCTGGGATTTAAAATTATATTTTCCTGGTTGGTTACAATCGTTTTGTTCATCTCTCCATTCATTTTTTTTTTAAATTATTCTCTCCAACCTTTTTGGCTAATTTTATGTCTCATTTTTTGGTGGCTTTCTGCAGAAGTTAACATGAGCTTTTCACATGACATGGATGTTGAGTACAAGAAACTCATCCAGATAGTGAACCCACCAAGGTATGTGCAAAAATCATACCTTAAATTCCTCAAAGCCACCTCAATTATTTACCATATTCCTTCTTCAAATTTACATCCATTTGTCCGAAGTTGTTTTGTTTCAGGGTTGTAATAGATAACAAAACCTGCAAGATGCAACGGTGATAACGGTATCTTTGATCTACTCCTCTCTGCACCTCCTCCTAAACCCCTCTTGGTAAACTTTCAAACTTTACCCTAAATTGTATTTCCTTTCTCTTTCTACGCTTTCAAAAGGTTTCATTTTTTCGAGTTCTTATGCTTATGTCTCTGAAAGCACCTTAATTTTGTGTCTAATTTAGGTTTTGGCAGTGTGAATTTTGAATTTTCCGTTTAATTTGGATTTTCATGTTTTGTATTTTGAATTCGTAGCCTAATTTGAAAATGAATTAGGATAAATGATTGCCACCTAAACTGATGACCATGATAGAGCAAAAAATATATTGAGTCATGTTTTTTTAAGAAAAGGTCACTTTGCAAAACAACAATTATATATATTTTTTAAATAGTTTTCGGCTTCAAATTTTGGTTTTTGTGTTTGTAGAGGAAGGAGAATTTGACCCGATTAGCTCCAAGCTTGCAGTAAACTTTTCTATTTGTTCAGGGTTATGAGAATTCTTACAAAAAGAATTAAAGCAACTCAGATTATAATTTTCCATTTAAAACTGTTTTTAATTTGGTCCACCATGTTATGTTTGTTAATAGGAACCCAGAAGAGTCTTGAATTCAGTTCCAACTGTGACATAAAATGGAACTTGGTGTCATTAAGCTATCGTCCTCAGCCCGCAGAATTCAGGTAGCCCCATGACTTTTACATTACTGCTTTCTTTTTATATACTAATTATTGTTCTATGAATTGTATTCTTCAGTTAAATAATGATTAATTAGAATGCCCAAAAAAAAAACCTGGGCATAATATGACTGACACTGCAAAAGTTTTCATTTTTTCGAGTTCTTATGCCTATGCTATAATATTGATTCAAGAGAAAAGAGATAATAATTTCACTATGACTGACACTGCAAAAAACTTCTGTTCCAGTCTGTTGCAACAATTAGTCCCCCCAGCATTTTTGGTTTTCACAAGCCTCAAGGTTAAACAATTTACATGCCAATGACTGCAGTTTCTAATTAAATAATTATTAGTTTCAAATTAACACTGAGACATTTGAAAAATTGGTTTGGCAAGGCATAGTTTAATGTTCTTTTTCATTTTATGCATTTTAATTTGAGAGAATTTGGCTTATTTGTCTTGATGTAATTAAATTCTTGAATTTTGCAAATTGAACTAATGAAGTTCATTCTGAATTTCCAATTCAACATTATAGCATTATAAAATTGTTTTGCAAAGAAATTGTGTGTTGCTCATGTGCATTCTTCATTGTTTGCGCTTTCAATTCAAGATAATGCAGTATATTTTCAACAGTAACCAATAATATATTCTCAGATAATCATGGCGGGATGGCCATGATATGTTATTTAGGGTACTTTGAGTGGAGTAATTTTGTGATAGTTATTAGTTTGAAGCATTGATGTTTTTTAGTTATTTGACCACCTTTACATCTCTTTCATTTAAATACTTGATTGGGAGCTTAATCTTTCTTTTGGTATTTGCTTAGTGTACTTTTGTTGGCCGTGTTTTGTATCTCATTAACGACAAGCAAGTGAAAGCTATAAGTTATCTATTACAAGTATCCATTTTAAAAAATCATATGTATGATAGTTGGTAGATTTTATTATTTGAGATTTCTTATTATTTTAGTGGTGTTGTGTTAACATTTCTTTTGCAATTTGATACTTTTCTATTTACACATTTCTTTACATGCAATTTAATCTGCATATTTGTGCTTTCGCAAATTGATAAAATTGATATTTTGATTCTACAACTTTGCAACTGAATGAAAATGGTTTCAACTCTGCGATTTGCGAGCTTTTAATCCAACAAGAAAGATGAAGGTTCGTGCCTGTTGAGTGTGCAGGAGTTAAAGTAGGTGAGTTCGAAAAATGTAAGAATGCAGGAATGTGAGTAAGATTAATCTTTTTTCACATGCACATCATCTTTTGTATATAGATTGTATCAATCAAATCTTTCGTATATAAAGATTTATTCAGTATTTTCTGTCATACAATCTTTTATATCTTTGAAACAAATTTTTCACACAATTTGTCATCCCGCAGCAACGCGCGGGCAAAAACTATCTAGTTAATTCCTAAAGTTGTTGGCCCGAGGCTTATTTCACAATTTCGCCCTATCAGTCTTTGCAATACTATTTATAAGATGGTGACTAAAATTTTGGTTGACCGATTGAGGCCCATCTTAACCAAGATTATTAGTCCTTGTCAAGTGAGTTTCTTGCAGGGACGTATATCACCGATAATATAGTTATTGCTCAAGTCCTTCACACTTTCCGGATAGCGCAAGGAAAAAAAAGCTTCTTAGCTTGGAAAATTGATCTAGCAAAAGCTTACGATAAGCTTCGATGGAGTTTTATTCGGAATACTCTTCAAGAAATTGATGTGCAAGGTAATGTTTTGGAGTTAGTACAGGTTTGGTATTGAGGTGTTTTTATAAAAAGTGGGTATAAAAAAAAAATGAGCTCAAAAACGTGTTTGATAAACACTTTAAAATAGCTTATATTCACAATTTTGGATGAAAAAAAAATTAAAAACGTGAAACAGCAAAAATGAGCTTATTCTCATAGCACAATAGAAACAGTTTTTTTTTTTCTTTTCAAAGCAAAATAATACCAAACCAGTGCATTGCATAACTGATGTGAATTTCCAAATTGTTTCAAATGGTGAGAAAACTAATAGCTTTTGCCCACAAAGAGGTGTTCGACAAGGTGATCCTCTTTCTCCTTATCTATTTGTTCTTTGCATTGAAAAATTATCTCATCTGATTAATGAAGCTGTTAATTCTGGAAAATGGAAAGCTATTCAAGTTGCAAGACAAGGACCTGCTGTCTCTCATCTTATGTTTGCAGATGACATTATTTTATTTTGTGAAGCCTCCAAAGAGCAAAAGCTCAGATCGTTAAGGAGTGCCTTGATTTTGCTTGGCTTTTGGGCAGCAAATAAGCTATGAAAAATCGAGAATCTATTGCTCACCTAATATTAATCGTGGAATGGCTCTTGAACTGAGTCGTATTTGTGGTTCTCCCCTGACTAATGATTTGGGGAAGTATTTAGGAGTTCCGCTCATTTATTCTCGCATCAGTAAAAACTTACAAAGGCCTGGTAGAAAAGGCTCAACCTTAACTTTCTGCTTGGAAGGTGAATTCATTATCTCTTACTGGTCGGGCCACTCTTGTCCAGTCTGTCACCTCCGCCATCCCAGTTTATGTTATGCAGATAGTGAAATTACCAATTACCATTTGTGATCAACTTGACAGGATAAATAAGAACTTCGTGTTTGGGTTAATATTTGAGTGTTGGGCTTGAAGAAAATAAAGCCCAAGGATGCCAATTAAAAGGGAGACTTGCCCGAAGCCCAGTCTTAAGCCCAGAGCAAATTAAAGTCTTCTCAACCAAGATGAAGGCCACATGTCTATGAGTGAAGTGACAAGTGATGAAGACTAACCTACTAGCAGCCAAAAAATAGTTTCTAGTGGCATTACAAGTAAAAAGTTAATGACTCATTACCCTCCAAGTGCTTTCGGGCAAGAGAAAAAGCTACAGCAGTCGGGCTAAATTGTCTATAAAAGGAAAGACAGGCCCCAGGGTCAAGGATACTCAACCAATCAAACAAACAAACATACAAACTCTGCTCTCAGGCCAGATTTGCATCCAAGAGCTTAAATCAACCTAGATTCAGCCCTTTTAGTGATAGTTCCTTACAAAAGACATCTTTTATCTAGTATAAAAGCTCTGCTACCTCCCTTAGTGGTGTAGTATCGACTCCCTCATGTAAACTTGTTTACCATCTATCCCTTTTTAGCATACAATCTCTGTAAACTCAAAGAGAAGTGACTGCAAGAGGTTCAACATTGCCAGACAAGGTGAAGTCTTGCCCGAGTCTCTTTGTTTGTTTTCTAAATTAGTATTTCTATTGCTTAGTATACTTTTCAGTATGTATTCAAGTTATTTCCACCTGTGTTGTCATTTTGAGAGTCCTATTTGCATATGGATCTTGTTAACTTAATGGATATGTTTTCATTAAAAGCGATATAGAGCCAAACAAATGATTTAAAGGGCTATAGACTCCTTCCATTCGAACATACAAGATCATGAATTAAAAGTCCTTGTTTATAAGGCAAGAAAAAGAACTTAATACATACTTAACCCATCTATGACAGTCAATTGATAACAAAAAGTTTGAGTAACTTAGGGATCAAGTAATCGACTTAAAACACATTTGTTCTACATCTGTTATATTGAGATAGCAGTGACACACCTAACAGTTAGTTATTTTTTATTGCGAGTCTCAAGGCCTACACCTAAGGCCCCACAAAGGCACATTTCAGAACTAACTTTGTTCTCTTCTTGTAGTACATCAACAAGCAAGAGCCCGACTACACATCCAAAGTGCCAATCCCTTAGAGAGTTATGCTAAGGTCCAGAGAGCCTTGTCCAGAGAAATCTTTGTCCAAACACTTCGTCTGGGGCTCCATTCAATCCAAAAATAAGGTTAACTTGGTTAAATGGAGCCAAAGTTGCCTTCAGAAGTCTTTTAGGGGGAGGGGGGTTTGGTTTGAAAAACATGAGAGTTATGAATTCGGCTCTTCTTGCTAAGAACTCTTGGAGATTCATGTAGGGGGATAATGGCCTTTAGGCAAAAGTTTTACAAGGAAAGTATATCAAAGGTGATATGGGTTCGTTACTCAATGATAAAACTGCTTTACACTCTTCTTGTACTTGGAAAGGTATTCTTGAAGGGACAAAACTTTTGCATGAAGGTCTACTATGGTGAAACAGAAATGGCAATATGGTAAGGTTTTGGATGGACAAATGGGCTAAATGTGGTATTTTGCTTCATCATGTTTCTTGCTCGCTTTCCGATGATATGCTTAAGGCTACTATAGCAGATTATTGTTACAATAATGATTGGGATATAGGTAAATTATTACTTGTTTTACCAAAGGAGATTGTCAAACAAATTCTTAGCATTCTAGTTGGTTTTGATGCTTTGTCTGATAAGTGTATCTGGAGTGCAACAAGTGATGGTAATTTTTCTGTTAAATCCGCTTATATGTTGGTCATTAATTCAAGTGGTCTTCCTAATTGGCAATGTGAATTCATTTGGAAACTTTATATTCCTCCAAAAGTTCAGAGTTTCTTATGGCTGCTCTCTCTTAATAAGCTTCTCACTAATGAACAAAGGCTAAAAAGGGGTATGACTAATAACCTTGATTGTCAGAGATGTACTTGTGTGAAATCCCATTCTTGGATTTCACTATTGCAAACTATGTATTTGTATTAAAGAGATTTTATATTATTTTTGGGAATTTATATTAAATTTAGATTTTAATTAAACTAATTATGAAGTTTGAATTTTGGTTAGTAATCATTAAAAAAAATCGTGGACTTGGGATCACACTAAGTATAATTTGATAGAGCTCGACCCTACGAAAGCGTAGGCGAAAACCGTTTGTGAATCGGAGTTGAAATGAAGAAACTAGAGGTTTAAAAAGAAAAAAAAGAAGAAAAAAAAAACTATAAGCTGCCAGATGGCTGCGTGAGAGAGGAGGAAAAGGAGAGATGCGGGAGAGAAGAAGGAGAGAGGATGAATGAGGAAAAGAGAGAGAAACTGATTTTCCACCCCATCGACCCGTACACCCATACACTCAACCCGTTCGACCCGGTTAGGTTCCGGTGGTTCCTATCCATTTGTCAAGCGAATTGTACCCAACCATCACCTCACCACCACACTTTTTCTCCTCCATCGTTCATTCAAAATTCGATGGAAATTGGGCCAAATTGTGGCGTTTTGCGATGGGACACCGAAGGCTTCATTGGCGGCGATCCGCTATTTTTGAATGTAATCCAGTTGATCTCCTTCACCATTAGACTCCCCTTGAGCCCTAGAACAAAACCCAATCAGTTTTAGGGGCGGCAGAACACCGAGGAAGGAGAATTGAAGCACACCTATTTCTAGGGTTCCGACGGTTCGTGGGCGATTTCAAGCATTTTCCCGATGAATTGGACTTTGGCCCAGGTATGAAAATTTCTCCCCTCACTAAGATCTACTTGGCTGTAAAATTTGGTAATTTTTGGAAATAGTTGAATTTTTCAGCTAGTCGGGGTGGCGCGTGGGCCGAGACCCCACCTACCCTTCCTAGACTAATTTTGATAACTTGATTCCATATGTGATGTTCGATTGACGAAATCTCGTCATATGACTATAGTTTTGATAGAGACCACCACTTGGACATTATATGGATCGATGATCTGACCATTAGATCATTATGAAACTTTAATACGTAATAATACGTAATATTTCAGGACAATAAGAACTTCCGGTTTCGTTGAGTGATCCGGAACTGAGTATTTGATGGGGTTTCATTGAGTGGTCTAGTTTCCTGCTCCGTCTGGATTCCGTTGAGTGGTCCAGAATCCCTCGTGATCGCAATTCTGTTGAGTGGTTCGGAATCGTATCTAGCTTGTATTTCATTGAGTGGTTTGATATGCATTGTACATTGCGATTCCGTTGAGTGGTCCGGAATCGTATCCACTCGAATTTCGTTGAGAGGTTCGGAATCCCTTCTACCCCACGATTCTGTTGAGTGGTTTGAAATCATATCCTGGTTTGGATTTCATTGAGTGGTCTGGAATCCCCTTTAGTGTCTTGGTTCCGTTGAGTGGTCCGAAACCCGATGTTGATAGATTTCGTTGAGTGCTCCGAAATCGCATCATTTGACTTGTTGGTTCCTTGAATTTGATTTTACCATCAAAGATGTAGGCTTCGGCCGAACTGTGTCGCTCTAACCCTGCATTTTGGTGTATGGTATGTGTTATTGATTAATGTGATTGTGGAATGATGTTGGTTGTGATTGTTGTCATTATGATTAGACTCGTTGACCAATATAGCTAGACATTTATGTTGCGCTTCGTCGAATGTTACTCATGATATTGCATGCCTGTTGTGTGGTATTAGGTTGAGACATAGTGATTTATGTGATGATTGTTCAAGTGTAATGAATGATGAACAACGAATGGCTTGATCCCTATTTATGGTACATAAGCAGTCTAACAAGGAGGGTAGATGCAGCCATAAAGTGTACAAAAAAAATTACTGTGCAATTCGATTCTCGAGTTGTGCTTTGCCATATCCCGGAGGTGGGGTAAGTTAGAGATACAGGTATTTGTTGATGTCACGTGTCAATCCTAAACGTAGGTCGGGATCGAGACGTGACATGTGGCGTTGAATCAGTGGCTCATGTTTTCAAAGATTGTCCTAAGGCAAGAGAAGTTTGGCAAAGGTTGGGAATGTATAAACCACAGTCATATCACATTGATTTTCATGATTTTCTTCATTTTAATCTCACCAATAAATCTTTCATATTGGGGGGGGGGGGGTTTGGAGTAGAGGTTAGTTTTTTCCATTGCTTGTTGGTTTATTTGGTATTTGGCGAAATAAATTTATTTTTTAGCAAGATTTTGCCATGACTGATGAGCCTACAATTTCTATTTGTACTTATCTTTGTGAATGGTTGAAGGCAAATGCTCACAAGATTGATAAACCTCATAGGATTGAATCTTTGCTCCATTGGGAAGTTCATCCTTCAGGTTGGTTTAAGATTAATGTTGATGGTTGCAAGAAAGGAAGTAATAATTCTATTGGAGCAGTGGTGTTTTGAGAGATTCTGATGGTAAATGGATTTTTGGGTTTTGCGCCAATTTGGGCACGTGAGATTCTTAATGTTGAGCTATGGGCTCTTTACTTGGGCTTACAATTGGCATGGAGATTACGGATTGATAAATTATTGGTGGAATCAAACTCTGCAGTCACAGTTCATTTGGTGTTGCAAGCTGCTAGCAATAATCATCCCTTAGATCCCCTTGTGTTTGCATGTCGAGATTTCCTTTCAAGATCTTGGTAATGTGAATTTCCGCATGTTTACAGAGAAAAGAATTTTGTGGCGGACAGTTTAGTGACCTATAGTCTTGATTTAGATTTAGGTCATTTTTATTTTGATACTCCTCCTTGTTTAGTTAGTTTTATTCGTGAGGATCGACTTGGGATATCCCAATCTAGATTTATTATTGAGTAGGTTTGTTTCGGCTCGCTTTTAGCCCCGTTTTTCAACCAAAAAAAAAAAAACCTCCACAGTGGAGTTGATCAATAAGTATTTACTTAATCCTAGGTTTACTAGGACGGGTTAATATACACACCCAAACTCCAAACTTGAAACATATGAAGAGAGGAGAGCAGGTATTGCTTGATGGATTTGAGGTTCCACCCCAAAATAAAATGTCAATAGCAGTGGTGACCCAACTTCTTGGATTGTTACTGCAAATGGCCATGAATATCTAACTTTGTTTAAGACCTATATACACATACTATTTATGTAGTCTATATATACTTACCGTGATAATGTTTCCATTATTTAACTTTTAACAATCGAGTTTGCATGGCTACTCCACTAACGTTAGGTAAGGAAGGAATTGTTTACGATTCTCCTAGGCAACAGAAGCGACTGTCGTCATAAAATATATATTAAGTAAGTTGAACGGAGGTGTTTTAAGATAAGATCCAGATTTGGATAGTTTTATTTATCATAGCATATAGAATTTAAGTGGTGAAGTTGCTGACAATATTAGCAGAACCCGGGGGGGCTAGAAGAATCGCAAGAATTAAAGAGAGAGGAAACATATCGAATAAAGTAAGGAAAACTAATGAAAAGGGCTTGAAAACTTTGAGTTTGAATGATAAGGACAAAATAAAGGGTAAAGTGAATAGTACCAGGATTGACTTTTTAGTGTAAAAATGTGGTTTTTCGTTAAAGTGAACAGTACCAGATGCTTTTCGTTAAAGTTCCCAATAAAGTAAGCACAAGGGGAGGACAATAGTGCCATGTGCCTTCCCCTTGTTTAATTATCTTCTTGCACTCGTTATTGTGCATGCTTGTAGAGCAATAGAGGTTTACTTTTGATTAATAATACAACCAAATGCTGCATCTCAAGAGTCCCCAACAATAAAAATTATCCCCAGGTTCGAACATTGTCTTTTCCATCTTAGGTGGGTATAGAAAAGTAACCGAACAACAGTACTGCTGTTCTAAAGAGGAGATCGATGTATCTAATGGCCTAAGGGCAGCAAGAGTCCAATATCCAGCAGCAACAAATTGCAGCCAAACTGAAAAATGTAAACAAGATATCGCAGGGGTCAGTGAAGCAGTGGAACAAGAGCAAATTAAGGAAGTCAAAAAGTAATTTTAGCTGACCTACATACAGAATTAAGGCATTTAAAAGTAAAAGATTAGCGGACGTGAACATAGTCACATTGGAAAAGCACGTGTTGCCTTCATGCACCAAAGTTCTAGTCCCTTTCCCCACAATTTAGATTAAGTTAAAGTATAATATCGCTTATATAAAAATAAATAAAAATAAAATAGTAGAATCTAATTGTCAATTGGTAATTGGTCTCATGGTGGAACCTCAATTTTTTTCATGGTATTAGTGCAGGTTATCCCACGTGTGAAGCCCAACGGCCACATGTACTTCATGTCACCCGAGTTATGTTGTCCACGTGTTAGGCTTGAAATTCGCCACATGTGAGGGAGCATGTTGAGACTGAGTCTCACATTGATGGGAGGAGGGACCTTGTATGGGCTTATAAGATGTTGGGCTACTCTCTATATTGTCAATTGATTTTATAGTGGAATCTCAACTTTCTTCCGTAAGCAATGGGAAAATCAAAACTTGTTAGCTACATTGTTCTAATCTTAGTTTCAATTGGAAAAATAGTTAGCCTTTTCATTCTAGAATTCTAAATTTGGAGCTGATCGTTATCAAGAAAAAAGATTAATTTTGTCCTCAAAAGTTAGAAAATATAAAAGAACAAAGAGTAAACACACAGTTACTCAGTTCATGCCAAACATGATATGATCAAACTATTAAGGGGAGAAGCTGAAAGCCAGTGAGTCAGTAGGGAGAAGGAGAGTATGCGCATACCAGTCTCTAAGAACTGAACAGCAACCTGGGCCATCATTGTCTTGGAGTGAAGAAGGCGGCGGCTGGTTCGGGGTTGGCGCGGGAGGATAAAAGTAACCCTGATAGCC